TAGACGTCGGCGCCAACGCGACTTCAATTACCGTCCTTGCCTCGCCCCACGTGCACCACGTGCGCGGCGATCGCCGGCGTTTGTCCAAAACAACCACCACCAACACCACCCCGCCGCGGCCGCGCATATTTAATTTAAACAAAAGGGGTGCGCGCACGCAAATCCCGCCGGGCCGGATATAACATCATTACCACAACTTTTCGGCGGAAACACGCACGGCGCGCGGCGCACCCACGCTCGGCAAGCCTCTCAACTCGGGCCGGAGGAGGGTAACAGGGTAACAACCGCCCCCGCCTCCGCCGCGTTCGCCCTCGCCCTGTCAGACGCACTGCACTACGACGAGGCGCGGGCTGGAGCAAGTTTAACTTGTACACACGCATACACACACACACACACGCGCGCGCGCGCGCACGCACATACACGCGTCGTCGTACACGGCGTCAGACACTCGCGGGGCCGGGGCGGCCGGGGGCACAACGCCAGCTTGCCCGCTTGGTTGGTCCCCGGTTGCAGAAGGTAGCCCGCCGCCGGCGAACAGCGCACTATCTCCGCGCCTGCAGGCCCTAAAGGCTGCCCTGCACGCTGGTCCTCTCTCTCGCACTCGTGGGCGTCCCAGACGGGTGCGAGAGAGACGCTCCGGCGGCCTGCCTGCTGCCCCGAGTTGCACCGCGGCCTTGCCTGCAGCGAGCAGGGCGCAGAGTCGGGTCATCCGTTATTCAAGGGTGACGTGCAATCAGGTCTGCAGCCCTTTCCTGTTTCCTTCGAGGAGGGCCCACGGGGGAGGGCCCGCGGGGGAGGGCCCGCGGGGGAGGGCCCACGGGAGAGGGCCCAGGGGAGAGGGCCCACGGGAGAGGGCCCAGGGGAGAGGGCCCACGGGAGAGGGCCCAGGGGAGAGGGCCCAGGGGAGAGGGCCCAGGGGAGAGGGCCCAGGGGAGAGGGCCCAGGGGAGAGGGCCCAGGGGAGAGGGCCCAGGGGAGAGGGCCCAGGGGAGAGGGCCCAGGGGAGAGGGCCCAGGGGGGAGGGCCCAGGGGAGAGGGCCCAGGGGAGAGGGCCCAGGGGAGAGGGCCCAGGGGAGAGGGCCCAGGGGAGAGGGCCCAGGGAGGGGCCCACGGGGGAGGGCCCGTGGAGGAGGCCTCACAAGACCAGCCGCCAACAAATTCCCTCCCAACTTTCCGTCCCGAGAAACAGGAACAGGGGCGGCAGGGCGCAGGGCTCCACAACGGATCAAAGCTTTGCGCTTTCCAACGCGCGGGGGAAGGGCCGGCCGTGGGGCCCCCGGGGCCGCAGGGCCGTAGGGCCGTGGGGCCGTGGGGCAGAGTGGCCGTAGCTGGCCGGCGACCAAGACCCGTCATGGGTCCGTCAAGCGCGCGCTCGGCCTACAGAAAGGGACGGCTAGCAGACGCCGCGCCGGGAAGGGCCCGGGGTGGTGTCGGGGGCAGGGGAGGGGGAAGGGGCACGGAGCAAGCATGGCACGCTCGCACTTAATTTAGATGCCCCATTCCATTCCGCTGGCCGCGTTGCTGGCGTTGCTGGCGTTGCTGGCCGCGCTTCCCCACCTTGCCGCCAGAGGGCAGCACCGCCGCGGCACCGCACTGCACACGGCCGGGGCGTCGCGCGCCCCGCGGCCCGCCAGCCGACATTCGCACAGCCATTGTACTTGCACGCGCGGTCGGAGGGTGAGAGGAGCGGGATTCCACCCCCCGCGAGGCTCAGGCCGAAAGGAAGATTCAAAGACGCTCGTGCATCGCTTATGCACCCCGCGATCGCTCGGGGCTGCTCGAGGCGAGAAGGGGCGAGGCAACACACGTGAAGAGCGTGACAAGGTGGGGAAGGGAGGTAGATTGTGCGGCAAAGTGGCCGGGAAAGAGAGAGAGAGACAGAGAGGCGCGTCGGAAAAGAAACCCAAATCCTCGAGGAGTGGCCCCCAATTTCCACGGCCGGGCCGCGGCGGGCCGCCACTGCCATCGCCCCGTCAACCGGCGCGCGTCCGCAGTCTGGCGCAGCCACAAACTGGCCCGGCCCGTCGCCTCTCTGCCGCACTCACGGGGCGTCCCGTAGTCTGGCACAGGCGCGAAAGAGACGGAGCGACGAAAACGGCGCTCGGAATCAGCCCCCGGGGATCGGCAAAGCCATTTCACGCTGCCGATGCACAATCACTCTCTCCGGGGACTCGATACAGTGCACTGACTGCTGTGTGCGGCCCGGCACAGAGCGAGGCCGGCCCGGCGCGGCCGCAACGCCGTCTGGCCACGTCTGGCGTGCTCCCTCCCTCCCTCCCTCCCTCGCTCCCGCTCGCCCGCTCGCTCGCTCGCTCCGGCCAAACAAGAGCCAGGCAAACAAAAACCCCGCGCGCTGACCGTGCGGGCCCGTGAAGGCCCTGCACGCGTACACAGACGTCAGCGCCACACCTACAAAGGCACGCGCCGCGCCGCGCGCACCGCCGGGTTAAAAACAGCACCGCGCGTCCCGCGTCCCGCCGTCCCGCCCCAGACGGCAGCGGGCAGCGCGGCAGCGCCGCCGACATTGTAAACTAGCGCACCTCGCAGGCGGGCGCCGTGTTCCCCGTGGTGTCCGACGTGTCCGTGGTGGCCGTGGTGGCCGTGGTGGCCGACGTGTCCGACGGGGCCGTGGTGGCCGACGTGTCCGACGGGGCCGTGGTGGCCGACGTGTCCGACGGGGCCGTGGTGGCCGACGTGTCCGACGGGGCCGTGGTGGCCGACGTGTCCGACGGGGCCGTGGTGGCCGTGGTGGCCGTGGTGGCACAGGCTTCCGCAGCTCCGCGGCCCCCACAAGCAATGCGGCGGAGTGCCCACCCCCGGGCGGCCCCCAGGCCCTCCCTTTGTATCGGCCCTATTGGGTGGAGGCGGCGCAGCGGCGCAGCGAGGCAACCCACGCTCGCGTATATATATATTGGAGCCGAGACGCCAAACCGGCCACCACTTATGGCAAATTTATTTGCCAAAAAGGAAAAGGGGGGGAAAATAGAAAAATAAAACCGCCGATCGCTTTTCACCGCGCGCTTTGTGGGTCGTGCGCCCGCGAGGACCGCGCACGAGCAGGGCACGGTGTGTACCCCACAGGACGGAAACCCTACGACATACCCGGCCCAACAACCCCTCGACCCACCCCAGCGCGCGCACACACACACACGTTGCAAAGCACCGCACACGGGATGCCGCAAACTCCCCCAGTATTTATTCCCCTGCTTCTCTCTCTCTCACTCTCTCCCTCCCTCGCGCACGCCATACTTCACACCCCGCTGGACAGACGGGCGGCAATGGAAAACCGGAGAGGGGCGGGGAGAGGTGGAGGGCGAGAGAGAGGGAGGGCGCCGGTCGCCCGCGGCTCTTTATCACGCAAAGGTGTGAGAAGCGACACATTTGTTTTCAAGAGGAGGTGTACCGGAGGGGGGAAAAAAAGGCACACACAGAAAAGGATGATGAAAATCCGGCGCGACGCGTCCCGGCCGCCACACACACACACTCACACGTAGATACTTATATACACTACGCACACGCAGGGGGGACGTCCATCAACCGGCCAACTTCCTTCCGCGGGGCGGCCAGCGGGTTCGCCGTCCCGCTCTCCACAAATCCAGCCAACTTTTATTTCTAGCCCATTGCCCGGCCCGCCGCTTGCAGTGCGAGATTGCACGCCGGGCGGAAGATTGCGCGATGCAGTGCTAGTGGCGGAGATAGCGCCGCTACAGTGTGGTGTGGCGGCCGAGGGGGAAAGACCATCAAGTTCCGGGTCGAAAAGGTGCTCGCCAACGACTACGGCTCATGTGTTGTTACAGCTGGTCCGGACCAGGAAAGAAATGGACATTTTTTTTCGCTCTTTTATCAGCACGATCCTCCGAGCGGTTGCTCTAGAGACAGCCTCGAGGGGAGACACACGACAACTCAGGCCGAACCGACCAATCACAGCGCTCGCTCAGCTGTAGCATCCAATGAGCGAGGGGGTAACCACTCCCGTAATACCCTGTACACAAAAACCGTGTATTACGCGTAATACACGTGATCGTAATACCATTTTCGGGTCAAATGTGCCAAATTTGGGCATTTTAGGGCCGTAATACACGTGTAAAACACCCGTAATACAGCGTAATACCGAGTAGTCTGTACACGATTTCTTGAAGTGTTTACCCCCTCGCCAATGAGAGCGCGCTGACGTCACCGAGTTGTCGCACCGCTCGCCAATTGCGGCCCTAGCGGTGCCCTGGCGGCGCCCTTGCACGCCCCGCATGACGGGGCTTCATCCCTACGTAATTAACGACTGGCTGGAGTCCGGAGTGGCCGGCGGCATCGCCATTGGCATCGCCCTCCATCAAGGCCCCGGCGGCCCTGACGGCCACGCCAATGACGCGGTGCACTTTCAGCGGACGGCGCCGCCCTGGCCGCGTCCAGCGTCGGCCGGCCCGACACACAGTGGGCCAGCAGACCGGCGCGGTCGGCCAACACTCTAGACGCGTTTCGAGCTCCAGAGTCGCTAAACAGGACTCGAACCGAACGTGTGACCCCACCAATAGATTGCTCTCCAAACGAGGAATCCACTAGTGGGGTCACACGTTCGGTTCGAGTCCCATTTAGCGACTCTGGAGCTCAAAACGCGTCTAGAGTTTTGGACGCCTCCGCCGGTCCTCTGGCCCACTGTGCAACCCGACGGTGCAGTCCGGCGGTGGCTAACCGGGTCGAGTCGTCCCTCCTCCACCACCCTGCGGGCTCATTCCGGACAGTCTCTCTCCCTCTCTGTTCGTCCCCCGCCCCGATAGGGCGACCCGTAAAGGGTGCGAAAGAGAGAGACAGACGGGACACGGTTCGGAGCCACTCTGGTGCACCACAGCCCGGGGCGCTAGGTTAGCTCGGCGCCCGCAATGCACTCGTAGCGCTTCCCAACGCCGTACAACACCCACACACCCAGGAGCAGAGCAAAACATCCACACCGTGACGTCACTCAAAACCCACAGCAAAACCGGTCACAACTGTTGCGCTAAAGGATATTCAACCATGGCCTGGACGCCATTCTTCTTGAAGATGACGATTCGTTGGACGTTGCCGTTGGGCGAGCAGATCGTGTGGATCACTTCCTGCAACACACAGAGGAAAACAGACCGTCAGCACAGTGCACACACAGAGAGTGGAGGAAAAAAAGCCACCGCCGCTCTTTCGTTCATCTCTCCTCAGCCAAAAACTTTTCTATGACGCTGCACCGCACCGTCACCGCGCCGTCGGGTCGGGCCTGCACACATCCGCTCTCGTTAGCTTACCGACGTGGAGAGAGACAGAGAGAGACAGAGAGCGAGAAGGCAGAGAGGAAAGGGGACGAGGGGCAGAAGTGGGATTTCGCGGACTCAGGAGGTCCCGGAATTGAGCGCGGAGACCCGTAAGGAAACGGAGGGATGGGGGAACAACTCATATCTGACAAATGCGAGGGGGCGGGGTGGGGCGTGGCGTGGCGGTGCGGGCCCATGGCGTCTCGGTCGGCAAGGGTCACACACTACTACCCCGACTCCATGGGCAGCCTCTTGATTTAGAGCCACACCCTGGGAGCGACCGTAACCTCCTTTCTCCCCCTCCCCCTCCACACACACACCGTTGCAAACGATAAGCTCGAAGGGAGCTGCCTAAGGGCTAATCCACTTTGGCCTGATTGCATACCAGAGCGAGCCGAGGGAGACGCGGACCGAGAGCGATAGAGAGAGAAAGAGTGGGAAGGGTGGGAGGGGGGAGGGACAGGGAAGGGCAGTGGAAGGGGGAGGATAAGGTGGGAGAGGGCAGGGGGACCAGGGGGACCGCCATTCTCAAGACTCGAGGCGCGCGGCGCGCCAGCAGGCCTATTCCGAACAGTGCCGCGTCGTCTTTCTGTCCCACTCGCAACCCTGCAAGAGTCCCCATGAGTTGGAGAGAGAGCGAGAGATAGAGACAGCGCGGTGGAAATGTAACTGTTCGGAATCTGTCGGCCGGGCGGGCGGCACACTGTGCAGGCAGCGCGGCCGCACCGCGCGGCAAGCGTAGCAGGGCCGCGGCAAGCAGGCAGCCAGGCAGGCAGCCATTGCCACCAACATATTGCAGATTGGATATCGATTCGGTGGTAATTAAATCCGAAGGGAGCGGATAGAGCGCGCAATGATAACACTGCGGCGGCAACCCGACGCGCCGACGGGCGGTTCGCCCCACCCCATAACAGCCTCATCCATCTTGCGGGCGCGGAGCGAAACAAAACGAGAAGATAAAATAAAATAAAATCGGGGCGGCGGGAAAAGGGAAAAGAAAGTGCAGCTCAAGGCAAGGCGCAAGGCAGCCCACGGAAATAGTCCCGTGGAATCCCCGCCCTGCTCCCTGCGCCCTGCGCCCTGCGCCCTGCCCCTCACGGCGGACGGGCTGCAACAATACCGGCCCCCTCCCTTCCCCTCCCCTCCCCTCCGCCGCCACGCTAGGCCGAGCTGGACTCCGCCCAAGACGGCGCACCGCGCCACCGCGGCCAGGCAGGCCAGGCAGGCCAGGAGCGAGGGAGAGGGAGGGAGGGAGAAGCTTGTTGCACCCCTTGCAGTGCTTGTTGCTCGACAAAGAGAGCGCCGCTTGTTGCACGGGCCTGGTGGCCACGCCTGGTGGCCTAGCCTGGCCCTGGCCACACCTCCGCGGCCGCCCCCGCCGCCCCCACCCTCCTTTTTCTAGGACATAGTGTACGATACCGCCCCCGGCCGGGCCGGCCAAGCCCCGCCTCCGCCCCGCCTCGGTATACGATCCAATATCGGCCCGCTGCTGCCATCCACACACACACACACACTGGCAAGCACGCCCCTATCCCGTCTCAATTCGCCGACTGCATTATTGCCCGGGCCGCCACGTGCTCGTGATGCCATTCTGATTGCGATTCATCATCCCCGCCGCGCCCCGCCGCCGCTCCGTCTCTCTCGCACTCGTGGGGCGTCCCGTATGGGTGCGAGAGAGACGGAGCGACCAAACCGACTCTCAGTCTGCAGGACAGCCAGCCGGCGCGGCCCCCCATGCCTCCTCCATTGTCGGAGTCTCGCATCCGCAGCGCAACAACGTGGCTAGATGGCTTTATATCCGGTTCCGATGCCCCGAGAGTGCGCGAGCCAGTGTGTGTGAGAGGGAGAGGGAAGGAATCTCTCTGTTGGAGTGACGTATGGTGCGGAGGGCATCTCGCTTCTTCTGCAAGGCCGCCTTCTTTTTGCGCAACACGACAGACAGACGGACGGACGGACGGACAGGCGCCCGACAGGCAGGCCACATTGTTGTGGAGGCCAGCCCCGCGTGACGGGTTGCCTACTCGCTGCTTCGCAGGGGCCATGGAGAGGAAGACGGACGGAGAGAGAGGAGGCCGAACAGGGTGCCAATGCCAATGCACCTGACTGTGAGATGAGGTGCGGGTCCAGACGGCGCGACACATCGGCCACTCCGTCAGCGCGACGAACCGCCAAGCGCCCCGCCCCGCCCCGCCCCGCCCCCAGGCAGGTAAAGTGGTTGGCACGTCACGTTGGTCGCCGGGGACCGATCCAACAAGCCGCAAGACGCAGAAGAGAGACCCAAAAATTGCATTCGCGCGCGCGAGAGGGGGGGGGGCGCACATTGCATCGCGGAGGTACACCAGAAGGTGCGAGAGAGCGCACCCATGTGTGCGAGAGAGCGCGTGGCGAGCGGCCCGTATGCACGCATTTCCCGCGAGCAATTACCCCCGAGGGCGAAGCGCGAAGCGGGCTGCGGGGCGCGGCGAGGAAGACCCGCTGGCACTTGTTGGCAACCTGGCGAACGTGACTAATGGGGCCGGGCGCGGCGGGGCGGGGCGGGGCGGGGCGGGGCGGAGAGCGGCGGCAACCCTCTCCAAAGTGCAAAAGCCCGGCACAAGCCCAGGGCTCCACACCGCACCGAGTGCGCCACACCTCGCCTCTCCACCTCGCCGCCACACTGCTTCGCCAGGCGCGCGGCACCCCAGAACGCCCCGGGCCAGAGCGGGCGCGCGGCAACACCACCGGCACCCCGCGGGGCCGCGGGCCACCATCATCACGACTACCGGGAACACCGTCAAAGGTGTTTACAGACACGCAGCCAGGCCGCGGCCAGGCGCAGGGGCGGGGCGGGGCGCAAACAACAGCCGCCGCGTCGTCCAGCGCGCCACCGCCGCGGTCACCGAGACCCAGAGGCCCCGAGGAGGCCCAGCAACAAGAGCCTCCTCGCCTCGCCTCTACGACCCTCATCAAAGCCAGAGTGGCCGCGTAAGCCCCGCCGCAGCCCCACAGCAGCAATATGGCGGGAGGCGGCCGGGCGGACACGCAGAGAGAAAGGGAGCAACGCGTCGTATCAAGGTCAGCCCGCCACCCCGCAAGCAGCCGGCCGGCCAGGCAGCCTGCCTGCCGCTGCTTTATGTACAGAAAATATTTCAAGCGCACTTGAGCCGGGCAGCACACCAGTACACTGCCCCCGGGCGGGCAGGCTGGGGCAGGCGCCACCACGACGCCGCTACGCCACAGCCAGCCAGCCAGCCGAGCGGCGACCGGGAGGGGAGGAAGAGGGAGCCCAACGCAGCGGGCCGAACAAAATCTTTTTCGAAGAAGAAAAATATTTGAAATAAAAAACACGGACGGAGACGGAAAGTCAAGCGTCCAGATGAAAGGGGGTTCAGAGGGTAGCGGCGGCGCCAATCCCTCCTCGCGCTTCGGACGCGATTGCTTACCTAGTGGCCCAGCACGGCCGGCCGGGCCGCCGCTTCATCATGCTCACTGTTAACACCGAGCACCGCGTAAACACACACACACACACACACACACACACACACAGACAGACGGACACACACAGACGCAGCCAGGCGCAGCCACGCACACACAGACACGAGCCGATAGACATAGGCACAAGCGGGGGCGCAATACCGACCCGAGTCGCCCCCTGGGGGGAAGGGGAGGGGGCGGGGCGGCGGGGGTCCATGGGGTTGCTTCTTTGATGCACTCCGACTGGATACACTCACCCCACCACCACCGCTGCCTCTCGCCACTCCATTTGCAAGGAGCGTCGCGCAGAGCACATCAAGCCCGTCCCGTTAATGGAAGCAAGTAACAAGCAGTAAACGCCAACAAAAAAAAAGAAAAAGAAAACAAGAAAAAAAGGACGAGGCAAAATAGGGGCAGCCAGTAAGTGCGCCACACCCTTAAAGGGCGTGCTACCGACGGTGGCGGCACGCGGTGCACTCCAAGCATCTTTTTTCCTCGGCCTTTTCCGCCTGCGAAATCCGCGATAAACGGGAGAGGGAGCGAGCGAGCGAGCGACAGCAGGCCGGGCAGAGAGAGAGAGAGAGAGAGCTCGACAACGCGCACTCCGTGACGGTCCACAGACACGGCCAACGGCGCCAACGGCCAGCACCACTCCGCCGTTTGCCGCCCGATCAGGTGCCCGAGTGCCTGCAGGCCGAACAGCGCTCCGTCCCGTCTCCCTCGCACTCACGGGGCGTTGCGCAGGGGGTGCGAGAGAGAGAGAGGGGCCTCGTGACCTGCAGCCGCCTGCAGCCGTAGTGGTGGCCCTTGTGGCCAGGCGCCTGCATAATGTCGTGCGGGGACGGTGGCGCTGCAGCGCGCCGCCCCGGCCGGGCTAAAACGAGCGGCCCACCAAGAAGGCAGATGGGAAGGAAGATGGCATCAAGGCCCAAACCTCTCCACCGCCGCCATGCCGCCGCCACCACACGCCTCCATGCTTATCGAGCGGCCCATCTTGGGCCGAACGCGCCGAGCGGGGCCGGGCCAACCACCAGGGACGGACGCCGAGGGGCGCGTCGACGCGCGGAGCCCCCTCGACGACGGCGTGCCCAGTGGGCCAGGGCGGCCAGGGCACCAGGTGTCGCCGATGGCGCCAGAATCAAAAGCAATGACATTTCGACGACGGCCAGGGCGCGAGGGACGGCCTTTTGGAAAAGTCACACAGAAAGCGCCATCGCCAGAGGACGGCTGGCGCGCTGGGGCACGGCGTGGCACGGCGTGGCACGGCGGGGCGCCAAAGGTCGTCGCTTCAGTCGACGGCGCACCGCGGCGGCAGCGTCTCGCGGTACACAGCCAGCAGCCCGCCGCCCACGCCACCGCGCGCCAAACAAATTCCGCCACTTTGCTCAGGAAAAGAGGCAGGGGAAAAACGCGATGGCGATACGACGCCGTGCCACCGCAACGGGTGGGCGCTGAGGCGGCGCCCCCTTTCACAAAGCAAACGTCGTAAAGGAGAGAAGCAGCGGCACCAGCAGCCCTGCAGAGTCTCTCTCGCACCTATAGGGAGCGCACCAGGAGTGCGAGAGAGACAGAGCGACAAACTCTCGGAATCAGTCCGCAGCGGCCGCAGCGGCCGCAGCAGCCGCGAGGCCGCGGGGACGCCGACGATACTCACCGTGGTGATGGGGTACACCGGGTTCAGGATGGTGAAGAGCAGCACGTGGTTGGGCCGCTCGTGGTCATTGCCCGACCTGGACACACAAGGAAAGCACACGTTAGCAAGACAGGCCGGAAAAGGCGCCGAAAGCGGGCCTGGAGAACAACCCCTTGAAACGAATCCTGGAAAACAGTCCGCGGTCATTGGCGCATTGGCGGGAGGGGCTGCCCGAGGGGCTGCCGCCATCGCCATCGGCTGGTGCCAAGAAGGGATGGAACTCGGAGCGAGAGCCGACCCAGCAGCGCCAGCAGCCAGCCACGGCCAGAAACACGTTCGGCCCCACCCTACCCCCGCAAGACGGGAAGGAACAAGGAACGGACGACTCGATTCCAGGAGAAGGCGGCCAGCACGGCCAGCGCGGCCAGCACGCGGCACGACCGCGCCGCCGCGTGAGCAGCCCGGGCGTGTCCCGCCCGCACGTCCAGCCCCAAGCTGCGGACACGTACCGCCCGGGGCGGCGCGGGGCGCGGCGGGGCGCGGCGGGGCGCGGCGGGGCGCGGCAGCAGGGGAGGCCCCCGCCCCCATTGCAACCATGTGTGGCCGGGCCGGGGACGGACGCCCCCAGCGGGGCCCCACCGCCGGCCCCACCCCTGTCTCTCTCTCTCTCTCTCTCCTCTCTCCGTCCCTCGCACGATTAAAACAGGCCATCCCCGAGGCCGCGAGACGCAGCAGCAGACGCCGCGGGGAGCAATAAATACCCGCGCTCCTTCCAGTTCTTGTTGTTGTTGTTTTTGGCACTGATAATGGAGCAGCGGGCCGCCTTGCTGCCGTCGTTCCGCCGCGTCGTTCGGCAGCGCAACCCGTCCGTCCAATCAGCCCCTCGCTAACGAACACGACGCGCGACGGACGGACCGACGGACCGACGGACGTCGTTAACTACAAAAAACAAAAACACGCGCTCTTTTTCGCGCCTCGCTCGCAAATTTGTAACCATGCCGCACAAATCCTCGCAATTACACCCCTTACCCCCCTCCTTTTTTCCATCAGCATCAGCGTGAGAAAAAGAGAGAAAGAGGAGGACGGGGCGACAATTTCCGACAGAATATAGCGTGGCGGCCAGTGGTGGTGGCAAGCGCATAAGGGGCCTATTTACAACGTGACTCGACACACGTGCAACACACACGCGCGCAGTTCCCGAGGCGGCGTGTCACTCAAAATAGCACCGCAAAACCCAACCACCTCGCGATGCTCTCTACCTGTCCACGCGCGTGCGTGCGTGCGTGCGTGAGGGTTTGCGCGGGTCAGGGCGCGCGGGCCAATTTCCCCGTTGGTGGCGTCACACGAGGCTCGTCGCCTGCCTCGGCGCGCGACAGATGGGGGGTTGGAAATGACACGCAAAGACTCCTCAAAATCCACTCATTGTTAGGAGGCGGCGCCCGCCGGGCCGCCATGCCGACGCCGCGCCGCCCCGCCGCCATGCACCAGGTGAAGCCGCGACAGCTGACAAATAAGAAGGGGCGGCGTCGCGGCGCACACACTGCCACCACGCCGCCGCGCCGCACGGACAAGCGGACGGGCAGGCCGACGGACAGACAGACAGACGGACGTTGGCACCGCCGCAAATAAGAGAGACGCTGCTGGCGCGCTGGTGGCGCTGGTGGCGGCGGACAAGGGTGACGCATCACAAGGGGACACCCTCTCCCAGGTAGCGCGACGCGACGCGGTGCGAGGCGCCGCACGTCCCGGGGCCTAAGTAAGTACGTAAGCCCGGGGGTGGCGCCGGCGGCACGCCCCACTGGCCGCCCCGCCCCGCCCCGCCCCGCCCCGCCCCGCCCCGCCCCAGCCCAAATCTCGGCGACGTGAGCAAAATGGCGATACCGAAGTGTAACCGGCCGACCGGCCGACCGGCCGGCTGCTCCACTTGGCGAGTCGCGCCACGGAGCGTCGCCACGAGCGTCGCCACGAGCGCGGCCTCCGCCGCCGTCATTTGGAGCGACACTTGGCCGCCTCCACGACGCCGAGATGCACCCGAGCGCCATCCCGGCGTACGAGCGCGAGCGCACTAGAGCCGCACTGTGGGGCGCACTTACGCGCGAAGCGGGCGCAAAAAGACAAACACCGAGACGGCGGCCTGGGGGGGCCTGCAGAGGCGAGGCGAGGCGGACAGGTTGTCTCCTTTCCGGGTCATTTTTGTGAGAAGGCGCCGCCGACAGCCGCGACGCCCGAATTGATGGAGGCCATATGCCATCCTTCAGAGGCAGCGCGATGGGTTATAAATCTAGCCGGAAAGCCCTCGCCCCCTCCGTCTCGCGAGCCGAGCAGAGCGAGTCTCGCGCCAGTCTCTCGCGGGCCGGTGAGTCTGTTCCGAACAGCGCTTTCGCCGCTCTCTCCCTCCCTCTTTCTCGCGTGCACTCACGGGGCGGGCCTCAGCGGTGCGAGAGGGACAGGGAAGCCGGTTCGGCACCCGTGACTGGGTGACTCACGCCGTCGCCGCTTGCCAACACACCTAGGGGACGCGACGGAGGGACAAGGAGGCTTTGAGGCTTTGGCCCGCAGTGCACTCACCGGCCAGCCAGTGGCGAGCCAGTGGCCGGCCCGCCGCTCAATCAACATCAGCGCCATCAAAACCAGGCATTCGGGTCGGTCCCGGCACTGTCTGGCCTAAGTCCGAACGAACTGAGCCTCACTGGCCTGACGGCCTGACGGCCTGCGAAGGTTTATTCGACACCGCATCACGGCTTGCACATCATTTGTTTACGGCCGAACATATCTCAAGTGGAGCGCCCGGGAATCCACCCCCCTGGCCCTTGGGCGCCTTGGGCCCAGCCCTTGAGATGAGGCTAGACAGGGCCCGCCGCTGCATCGGCTGCTTCCGAATAGTGCTTCTGTCGCTGTCTCTTTCGCACTCATGGGGCGTTCCTCCAGGGCGAGGGAGAGACGGAGCGACGAAGCGTTATTCGAAATCAGGCTTCTGGCATCCGCGGTCGCGAGCGTTCCATTGAACCCTCTTGCTAGGCTCGCTAAGCTTGCTCGGCAGTTTGAGTCTGGTCCTGCTGATGCCTCTCGGGGCGGTGCCGGGCGGTGCGGAATTCCACGCGAGGACTCAAGAGCGCGCCGCGGCGCCGCGCATCACAGAAGGGACCAGGAAATGAACACCCAGGGTCTGTGGATAAAGGCTCAGACGTCCGGAGTCAAGCGGCAAAACTCGGGACAGCCGAGCGACAAAAACGTCGAGCCTTGATCACCAGTTTTCCAGTCAGACCCTGTTCGACGAGCCGACAAGCATTCCCTCGGTCCGGAAAAGCGATTGTGATTGATCGCCATCAGCGGGTGACAGCAACCGGACGGCGCGGGGCGGGGCGGGGCGGGGCGGTGCGGGGCGAGGCGAGGCGGGGCGGGACTCTGCTCGCTTCCATTGGGCCCGCCTTCGAGCCCTTTCACCCTTTCAGTCGTTTGAGCGACGGACGGCACCAACAAAAAACAAAGGGGGCGCTCCCCGGGGCAATCGCCGCCGCGGTGGAAACCCGAACCGCCAGCAGCGGCGCCCCGCGCCCCGCGCCGCACCGCCAGGTCAAGCCGCCCTTGTTTTCACTGTAAACAGTCAATTGCAACAGTTGGGGCTGGCGGTGCTGGCCGCGGGCAAGGCACTGGCCGAGGAATTGGCCTTCATTGGGCTCCACTGCCAATTGGCCAGCCGGCCGGCGCCAGCGCGCCAGCGCAGTCCGCGAGGTGGCGGCCACCGGGGCCACCGCGGCCACGACGCCGGCCCGAGGAAGGCGCGCACATCCCCGCCGAGGCCGCCGCCGGCCAAAGCCGTTGTTTTGTTTTCCTTCGCCCCGGATCAATAGAGGGGACGATTTTCAACCCCTGCGACCTGCGCCACCACCCTCGCGCCGCCGCCGCCGCGGGGGTAGTTTTGAGCACTAGTTGTCCCACATCGGAGACGGGCTTCTATTTGCTCTGGCAGGCAGACTAGCAGGAAGCCGGTCTCTAGGGGGCGGATGCGGAGGATGCGCGGCAAGGTGGAGTTGGTGTGACGAGACAGCCAGGCGGCCGTAGTCGCCGTAGGCAGCCCGACGTGCGGTGCATGTGGACGAGGGGAGGCGGGCGAGCCCCCCGCCGAGGCCACGCCGAGGCCACGCCAGGCACAGGCTCCACGGCCAGACAAATGACTTGTTTTGCATCCAGCCGGGTTCCCACATCAAATCATGGTCCACGCGCCGTCAGCACCGCCGCCCCCACGGAGGTCACACCGGGGTGCCCGTCTCGTTAACATTCCGCGACATCGCCGCCAGCGCTCGCACCGCGGGCCGAGGCGCGGGGCCCCCGTTCGGCGCGCGGGCCGCGCCACGGCTCCGCCGGCACGCATTTTCATAGCCTGCCATTGTGCTGTCACAGCCTTCCCGGTTATTTTTACGGGCCGCGCGGGGCAGGCCCGGGGCGCGGCGGGGGGAGGGGGCCGGACTAGCACGGCGTCAGCGCCGGTGCCGCTAACCCGCGCTAGGCCGTCGACTGACTGGCTGAGACACGAGACACCTGATCAGGCGAGGGACGCCGCCACCGGCCGCCACCGGCCGCCACCGGCCGGGGGCGGGAACACGGCGATGACGGCGACGACCGACACAGGTCACCCAGTCACCGGGGAGGGGCCGACGGGGCCGACCTTGCCACGCACAGGGGCGGCGCCGACGGGGGCCACACTGGGAACTCCAGGTCTGCAGGTCGGCACGGAACGCGACGGAACGGCGCATCCCCACAACAGCAACACGCTCGCCCCAGCCAGGCCGCCAGGCCCAGCCCGGCCGGCCAGCGATCCATCCCAGTCAGGGATTCATTTGACACCGTCACCGGCCCGGCGATAAGGCATCGAGCGGCCCCGCCCCGCCCCGCCCCGCCCCGGGGACACTCCCCGGCCTCCAAGACGAAATAAACTTCAGCGAGCCCCGATCAAAGGGGCGGCCGTCCGGCGACAACGGCGCGCATTCTTGGTGTCGCCGCGCGTTGCCACTTGCGCTACCTCGCGATTGCTTGCGTTAGCTTTGCGTTAGCGCCCCGAGGAATGGGTCCGTTCCGCTCGGCGCCCATTGGACGCGCCGCGACGCACCGCGACGCACGCCTAAAGTGCAGCTCATCTTTCACCCCCACCCGCCAACTTTATCTCAAGCCCCACAACCACACTCACTCACACCCATGCAGACAGACACGTGCAGTCGTGAGGGAACGTCTTGATTAAATTTTTGGGTGCACTCCAAGGATGTACCCAATATTTAACGCGCGCAAAGAACTAGAGAGCGACCCCCTCCCCTTCCCCAGCACAACGGGTGTGTCGACGCGGTCGACGCGAATTCCCACCGACGGGTCCCCATCGGTCAACCCGCTTCATCGAAACCACCAACTTCGCCGACGGCCTCGCGAGGCACACCGCGAGTACTCTCTTTCTCCTTCTTTCTCCCTCTCCCTCTCTCTCCCCACTGAGCCTTGAACTCACCGAGACTCTGGCGCTCCTCTGGAAGGGCGGAATGGCCTGGAAAAGACAGAAACATCACACTTTATGTTTTGCAAAGGCATGTCCGAATTTTCCTCCCTCCCTGCCTTGCTGCTGTGCAAACACACGAGGGGGTGGGTGGCGGCGAATCCCAGAGTGGGCCAGCCAGACGGCACCTGGGTGTCTCCCTAAAATGTCCCTCTAAAATGTCTCTCCGGGATGAGAACTAAAGGGCGGCGAAAAGGGCGGCCGACGCACAAAGCCCTGCGGATTCCCGCGGCTAATGAGGCGCCGCCTCGCAGCCTCCCTGGAGCCTCTCTGGCGGCGCAGCACCGCGCACAGTGGACCAGAGGACCGGTCGAGGCGGTCAAAATCCCAGACGCGTCCAGCTCCAGAGTCGCTAAATGGGGCTCAAACCGAACGTGGGACCCCACCAAAGGGTTGCTCTCCGAACGAGGAGTCCATTGGTGAGGGGGGTCACATACGTTCGGTTCGAGTCCTGTTTAGTGACTCTGAAGCTCAAAACGCGTCTAAAATTTTGGTCGCCTCCACCTGGCCCTGGCCCAGGCCCACTGTGCCGCAGGCTGGTCAACCCAACCAACCACTTCTTCAGCCAAAGTTCTCCTACGCCTCCATTACATTTCCCCACATTATTTCAAGGTAACCATTGCATATTTTTCTTCGCGTAGCGGAAAGAAGGCCCAACCTGAAACAGCGTCCCGAATTTTCCCAGCCGCTTTTCCACCTTTTCGCTTCGCAAGTCGGAGTCCGGGCCGGTGTGGTTGCCGGTGGCTGCCAACCCCCTTGTCCGACGGGTCGGTGGCGCTGCCACACTGCCATCACAGCCACTCCGCGCGAACGTCGTGCCCCCCACGTCGATGGCACGTCCTCCCCCTCCCGCGCGTGAAAAAACGCTCCGCGCACGGCGGCGCCAGGCAGCCGAGAGTGCCGACCACGCCCGGCCACGCCTGGCCACGCCCCACGACGAACGGTGCTCACTTCCCGTGCGCGGAGCGCGGAGAGGCCCTCTGATTAGTGGAGCCCCGACAGCGGGCTTCGTCCGAACGGCGCCTTTCTCTCTCTCTCTCTCTCTCTCTCTCTCTCTCTCTCTCTCTCTCTCTCTCTCTCTCTCTCTCTCTCTCTCTCTCTCTCTCTCTCTCTCTCTCTCTCTCTCGCACTCGCGGGGCGCCCCGTAGGAGCGCGAGAGAGACGGCGCGACGAGGCAGCCTCCGGACCGCACTTCCGCTCCTCCCGTCGATGCAGCCATTGGTGCGTCGCGCGCCGCGGACGACACGACCCATTCGCCAGCGAACAAACACCAGCCACCCGACAGTGTGCATTCGGAGTCTCTGGCGCGCGGAGGAGTAACGCGACGCGGCCACTTCTTGCACCGAAACACATTTATCAAACCTACAAGAAAATACGGGGAGAAAAAAATCCAACCCACACAAACTTTGCCCATCCTTTTGTTTTCTGGTTTTGCGAGTTTTTGTGCATGTAGTCGGAAAATGGTACCCACTCGAAAGCCCCGGCAGGGCCCCAGCAGGGCCCCACTAGGGCCCCACTAGGGCCCCGCGACACGGTTCGCTTGGCAGACAGACAGGAAGGTAGAGCGACGACGCCCCAGCCTCCTCCCTCCAAAGGTGCGACGTGCCACGCCACGCCACGCCACGCGGGGAAGAGAAGTCCCCCAGGGAGCGAATTTCCACATATTACACGGAGCAGCGCAAACGTCACAAACGCGTCAGTCCTTCCGTCAGCTCGTCCGTCGCCGTGTCTGTCAGCCCCTCAGCCCCGCGGCGCCGCTCGGCGGCCCTCGCTCAGGTTCGGCGGCGGCTGACGTGTTCATAATTTACAGGCCGGCCGGGCCGACATATTTAGATACATGGGCGGCGCGGGGGGCGGCGGGGTGACACCCGTTTAGACAAGAGCAGATATGTTTAGAGAGGGGCTGACATCATGGAAAAGACGTTGAAACCGAGAGGGGGGGAGGGGGGAGGGCGTCGATGGTGGCGCAAGATTGATTCCATCGCCAGTAAGCCTCCAGCCCGTCAGGTGCTTGGAGGGGGGGGCCTCTCCCTTCGCTCCAGATAAGTAAATTCCCGTGTCGTGATCGTGCAGCAGCGTCCCGGCGGAGCACCACGACGGCGACAGTCTCCACGTCCAAATAGTGGCCGCCCCTCCACCAGCCAATCCTCCCCCAACAACCCCGTCACGGCCGCGGGGGGGCGAGGGAACCAAGGGAACCACACCCTTAAGCCGATAGGGTTTATGCATTCTTTCATGGGCGAGGCCGGGCGAGGCGGCGCACGGCGTCGGCTGATGCACTGCTAAGGAAGCGTCGCGTCATCACCGCGGCGCCGCGGTCCAAAAGACGCCCGTCTCCAAAACACGCCCGCCGATCAAGACTCTTTTCTCCTTTTCGCCTTCGCGGAGGCCGAGGCCGCGAGGCCGCCACTTGCCGGTGTGATGGATGGCGGCCGTCGCCGAGGCTGCCGCGGCTGCCCGAAGAAGCCCAGGCAAGCCCGGCCAAGCCCGCACTCCATAAATTAAACGTCCATCGATTTTGCTCGCCCCGTCGGATACAAGATTCTCCACTTCCACCCTCACTTGATCACAGAGCGACGCTATCGCCGCGCTCGGGGCTGCTGGGCCCCGCTTGGCCCTGCCGGGCCCAATCGCCCAAATTCCGAACCTCGTGTGCGCGATCCGCGCGATCCAGCCCCTTTTCAATTTTGGCGCGCTTCGCCCCGCCCTCGTCGCACAGTGGGCCAGAAGACCGGTGCCAGGGGCCAAAACCCCAGACGCGTTTTGAGCTCCAGAGTCGCTACATGGGTCTCGAACAGAGCGTGTGACCCCACCAATGGATTGCATCCCGAACGAGGCTCGAGTCCTGTTTAGCGACTCTGGAGCTCAAAACGCGCCAAGAGTTTCAGCCGCCTCCGCCGGTCTTCTGGCCCACTGTGCGACGTGCTTTTCCCACACTCTCCCACTCGTCGGCTCATCCCCGTCGCGCTTACACGGCTACGCCGTGCTACGCCACGGCCGCGCGGCCGCGCCGTTGTCGGCACATTACTGTCGCACTACACGTCGCTGGCAACTCGGGGAAGGGGCCCCCGGGGGCAGGCAGGGCAGGCCGCGGGGCGGCGGCTAGCGGGGCCCTCCGAGGGAGGGGCGGGGCTCCAAACGCTCTATGTAAGCAGTACGTGTGAAAAACGGTCGCAATAGTTTCCGCCACCGCGTCTACGCCGCGATCGTGGGAACGCGCGACGCGCACGAGTGGGCACCAACGTGGGTGTGTGTGAGCGCGCCACCGCGTTCCTTCTCCGGTCTTACCTGAGCGCGCAGCGCACATCGCACGGCGCACCCCATCCCAGGCAGAAGGCGCACCCCTTGGGATCGACTCCCGCCAGCTACCGCCTTCCCAATTCACCCCTCCGCCGTCCCGGCCGGCCGCCCGACCGCCCCGACCGCCCGCAAACTCGAGATGAGCTTTCCGGATTTTCCTTCCCCAAGAGGTTAACATCTCTCCTCGAAATCTTACTCGGGAATTTCGGGCGAACGGCGAAGGAGCGCTCCGGCCTCCGGCACGACCCCTGGGCCCCAGAGGTTGGAGGCCCCCGCAGCCCCCGCCGCCCCCGCAGCCCCCGCCGCCCCCGCAGCCCCCGCCGTGGTGCCGAAAACTTGATTCAATTTCCGCCTCGGAACGGCCTTCCCCACTTTTTTGTTACCCTCGTTTAATTTCTCTTAGCGCCTCACTTTTTCCCAATGTGGCCTCTTTCTTGTTTCTATTGCTGTTTATTTCTTCACAGTGTCGCCGTCTTGTAAGATCAAGATGACCCAATTCCTCCCCGTCCCCTGCCTGCCGTGTCGTCATTTTTTGTTTCTCTGAGCTCGCTTGTCCCGACACGTGTTGCCAGAGATGAGCCCCTCCTGAGACTATCTCCTTTCTGCTCGTCTGTCGCCGCTGCGACGCGACGCAAACGCAACGCGACGCAACGCGCCCCCCACCCGTCTAATGAGTGCAACAGAGACGGAGCGCCGCGCCCCCGGCCGCCTAATGGGTGCGACAGAGACAGAGCGACTGCGTCGGTAATGAGAGGGAACAACCCCATGGGCTTCTCTCACGCATCATCTACTTTCTGTCCTTGCACGGTGTGTTAGAAAAAACACAGCTCCTGTTTCGACCATTCAAATCTGAGTCCCATATACCCTGTGCGTTGTGGCCCTATGAGCAGATTGAACGGTCTCAGACCATTGGGCACCATGAGAATTTCGTACAAGAGGGAAAGAGTGCGGCAAGAAAGGATTCACCACCACAGAAATGCACCCATGTATCCCATTCGGAACAATCAAAACCACTATACCTCGACTAAATAACAGGCAATCCCAATGTGACACATGAAATAAATTTGCTCACCTCTTCCTGACAGGCTCGTCACCAGCATAGAAGTCACCGCCACCACCACCACGATGATTCTGTAAGGATAAAAATGGACAGATTGAGAAACTGTAATAATGCTCGAACACCTAAGCTCATGGCATAGACGATCGAGTAAAAATATGTGTAGGCTTTTCAAGGATAAATTCACACTTAGACATTGAACAGACGACCAAAACACTGGTTAAGATCCAAGGTCTGATGGTAACAGGTGACCCCAACATCTACGGGAAATTAATTTCAGTCCACAGCCACTGTGGTGCCACTTGGCCAAAAACGCCCACTCCCACCGTTTCTACACCTTCGGCCCTGTTCGGCGAGCGCTGACGCGCAGAGAAGCCGACAGTCGCTGCTGGGCTACTTCGTTTGACGCCGAACCGTCCCGCTGGTGCGCCAGTGAGGTTAGGGCCGTCCAAGGCGGCTTGGCTGCTGCGCGCTCGGCGGGTCGGCCCGGCTGCGATTGTTCGCTCAAACTCAAAATCCACGAGCCGCCAGCCTGCGCCAGCCGCGCCGCAATCACTGTCACGTTCTCGCACAGCCGCACACGCGCCGGCGGCGAATCGCGCCGAGGAAACGCTAATGTGTGTCATCAAAACAATTCCGCACTCGGCGCCAAAGGCTGTCGCCGACGCCAAAGTCGACCACAGAGCACACACTGGTGGGGAAAATGACCTCCAGCAAAGTTTCGGCGCCGCCGGGGCTTCAGAATGCGTTTTGGGAAGCAGGAATCTTGGTCTGAGCACGCAGAGCCGCTGGGCCGGCGGGGTGCAGCACAGTATCAGAGGCTCCTCTTGGGTTGAGCTTCGGCCGGATCCGATCAAACCGCCACCGTCCGAGGGAGGTCGTCGTCGCCGAAATCCGCGTTCGACGGCCGACGGCGAGCAGAGGGCACACGCAGTTAACCCCAGGACGCCGACGACGACGACGACGACGCCCCAGGCCCCAGCCGGCGCCTCGACAACGCTCCTACGCCCCGTCCCTGCCCGTCCCGTCCCGTCGCCGCGGACCCCAACAACACCCAATTCTCGTCGTGCGCGGCGACCTGGCCCACCGCGGCCAAAACTTACCCTCATCATGCCCTCTGAGTCGCTCCGCTGCCTCTTCATGGTCGCAGCATCCCCGTTGTAAGACATTTTGACGACACGCACGAAATTTCGACACGCGATGTAACCGCACCGACAAAACCAAGATCACTGAACACGAAAACGAACGAGCGACGAGCGACGCCGTCGGGAGAGCGCAGCACACGCAGGCTCGCAAACAACAACAACAACGAGCTGGGGAACAACAACAAGGGCGTGGCAGTGGCAGCGTCTGGTGGTGCGGCCAGGGTCTCATACATCAGCTGACGGCGTAAACAGAACATCTGTTTCGACATCCCACGTTTCGTGTCATTCCAATACCCGGAAAATAATGAAAATAAGGAATGCCAAAAGCCTCTCGCTCTGCTTGCATGGAACCCTTCCGTCTTCTTTCAGTCGAATCCACGCAACGAAGACACTGCCCAAAACTTGCGGCTGTCAGGCAGCGATTTCATCTTTGTTTTCTTCGTCTTTAAATGTTAAATGAATCGTATTTCAATCAGTTTAGTCAAAATTCAAATGAAATTAATTTTTTACTGAACTTAAGACACGTAGCACGAGTTTTTCGTGTCTTTGACGAGTCCTCAAGCTGAAACTGATCTCTGTGGTTGAGAGCTGAGAGTTCCAGCAGAAACCCAGAGCAGACCGCTGTTGCATACTTTCATTTTGTGTTTACAATCGAGTAATTTTTGGTGTTAGTTAGGGATGTCGCTCTGAGTTGAGTGCCTTTTTATTTAAGCAGTGCTTTCTTCGATGCCAACTATTCGCTGAAATGTCTTGTCACGATAACATGTTGCATTTACTAAATTTGCCCGATGGCATCCTGGACAAAATTCTATGCTGTATGTCTTACGACGACATTGCACGTCAAAGATTGGTGAGATCCTTTTACTTTTACTTTACCTTGCTACTAAAGTTGCGAAAAAGTATTTATTTTAAGCTTGTTTTTTTGATAATTTTTTGTTATACATATGTCAATGATTAGGTTAGGACCTTTATCATTATCTTCATCTGTCATCTCCATTGTCTTTATTGACATTTGCTTAAATTTGATGATAAACAGCTTTAAAACTTGTTTTAAGATTTATTTGTGCTGTTTTTTCATGCTTTTTTGTAAAAGCTTCTTTGCCTTTTTTTCATCTTAAGTATCACTTTGTGAAGATCCAGTTATGTTTGACAGACATCATCTTGGCCTGACAATGTCAAACTCACTTAAATTTTACATTGAAATGTTGTATTCTATGTTGCCCTTTTTTTCAGTAGATTCAATCAATTTTCTAGGTTTGTGTTTGGAAAAAATGACTTAAATTGGTTCCATTCACTGGTTGGCCTACTTATGTGACACAAGATACAGTCTTGACTGTCATAACACTTTGGCTTGCTTACTCCTTTTAATTTTACGATTCCCTATCATCTTTCTTCCCCCTAGGTATGCCGTAAATTCGACCAAACATGCAAGAATCTACTCAATAAGGGCTTTATTGCTGTGGAACGTTACCATGGGGCATGCTTGAAAAATGTCAAGGCCCAGCTTCCAAGAAGGGAATCAGAGCGAAGGATGCATCCAATGTTTCGTCACTGTGAAATTTTAACAGCTGTAGAAACACGGTTGTCCATGTTATCAATGACTTTCATGCGTTATGTGGACATAAAACTGTGTTGCTTCATTCCTGGCAAGGTTTGCACTTTTCTCCCTTTTGTTTTCTAAGGAGATTGTTCTCATAACATACAGTGACTTTAAAAAAATATGTTTATTTTATCAGGTCATTGATGAGATTTTCCGTGTTCTGCGCCATGTAATGACAAGCACCACCCAATTAAGAGCACATGAACTTCTGCAAGAGCTCCGTGACATATCCTCTATGGCCATGGAGCATTTTGATGAGAAAGTTGTGCCAAGACTCAAGTTACATTTGTCTGCTAATCCAAATAGAAACTGCCATTCAGTTTCAAGTTAGTTTGACTTAATTTTTTAGTTCACTCACTTCTTAGTAGTTTCATATAACATGCACCTTCACTTATGTAATAAAATTTAATAAAAATTTTCAAGTTGCAGGTCCCTCAAATCTCAGCCTCATGCCCTCTCGGGTATCATCCATGAGTGTGGACAAAGCAAGACTTGCTACTGATTTCTCCAAGATGCAGTCTCAGTCTAAACATAATAAAAAGAATGTTGATACACTAAAGAAGACTGTACGCCGTTTACAACTGAAGGTTAGTTTATATACTGCTTAAAACTATGGGTTACTGGCATGTTTTTGTCATTAAACAATATGCAAAATTTGTTTTGTTTTGTTTTTCAATCAATTTTGAACTATTTTATCATTTTTTTGAAAATTTCAGTTAAAGAGACATGGGGTGCAGCTTTCACGGCAAAGTGCTCGCCTTAGAGAGCAAGCCCAAAAGTTACGAGAGCAAGATACAGTGATTGCAGAAATGAAGCGTCACATGCAAGAATGGGACCTGACCTTGAGTGATCTTAAGGCTGGCCGGCTGATACCAAGTGACAGTGATAATATGAATTCAGCAGAAAGTTCATCTGGAGTAGCTACTAGCGTGGATGGCACCAATTCAAGCAATCATGAAATTAAATGTGAAAACAGTGCAACTGATGATAAAAATGGGAAAGTTGAAACCATTGATGAAGGTGAGGGATCATCATCAAATTCTTCAGCAAACTTAAAACGCACTCATAGTGAAGTGGCATCAGGTCATGACTCAGACTTTATGGCGATACGTGCCAAACGCTTTTGTCGAATATTGAAGTTTTGTGAAAATAAATCAATGAAACATACCGAAAGTTGAGATCAGCTTGAGGAGCGACCGATCTCAGAACATACCATGTTTGAGGTCCGCCGCTTCTTCATTCTTAGGGCAGTAAAATCTTTGTCACACTACATGGAACAAACAATAAATGCTGTGTGATGAAAATTATCTTGATGAAAGGTTGAGGTCTACTTCAACTTTTATTTGGGCTGGATCTCAACCAATCTCTCTTATGAAGTATTGATTATTTTTAAAAAAATGCCTCTCATTGCCCTTATATTGGCAGTAACACCAATAACAAAACACCAAATTATATCTCATTGTCATTTGTGTATCATACTCATTTACATCATTCTACTATTAATGTATATAAAGACATGTTCATTTTCTTTTAATTTCACATGACTCCAAGTGATGCCTATGTAAACTGTGATTGTAGGGCACAAGGCATGGAGGTTTATATTTTATTTTATTTCTACACTCAGATGTGTTGAAAACTTTTGTTTTGTTTGTCTCGTAAACTGTGGGTGATTTTATTTGTATTTCATGATAAGTTCATAACAGCAATGACCATATATTTCTATTTGAATGTCTGTAAAAATCTTAGCTGTTATGACCTTAGCCATGAATTTTTCATTGCCTTTGAGCAGTTATGCAATGGAATATCTGTGATTTTATTGAGCTCTACAATATTTAATTTTATTCATATCAATCTGGCCCATTCACTAATTTTGTTGGAAGGGATACCGACAGTCTAATTTTGTTATAGTCCAACCTTCATGAGAGCTCAATTGATTGAGTGTGATGATTGCAGTTAGACTCATTAGCTTATAAAGATGGTATAGGTATCTGATTTCTTTTTCATACATGGAAGATGTTCATTTTTTCAGCCTTAAAATCTCATGTAGCTAGACTTCTTTTAAAATGTGTAAGCAATTAGAGAAAATTGTTGATCTGAAATTGCCAGAATCTTCTCTTTGGATGTAGTAAATATCCTATTGCTATAGGACTGTTTCCATCAGTCACACAAGGTTATTGTCATGAGGTTTAACATGCTGTCTGTCCTCTAATTGAAGACTAAGTCCCTCTGTTTGAGTTCAATAACATAATATCAAAAATTAATCATCAATTTCTTTTCCCTTTTCCTTGTGGGCTGTGATGGGGGAAAAGAATTACATGCTGTGAAAGCAAAACCTATACCCTCACTCTTTTGCCATGCCAGGCTTAAGTGTTTCTTTGGATGTAATTTCTGTCTGCTTCCAAAAAGAAAAAAAAGAAAAAACTTTTCATACAAAACAATGTTATTTATTATGCTTTTATCTTAAGCTGTCTGGATGTTTCCATTTCTCATAGCAATGGTAATCTGTTTTGCATATCTTTTGATGGTAGGTACTACATTTATTATTCTAAATTGGGATGCCTTACACACTGGGTGCTTAACAGATTAACGCAATACTGTTTTTTTGTCAAGAAACTAATTTTTAAGGAACCCAGCAATATTTATTTTTCATGTTTAAAAGTGATATTGCAGTTAGGTATTAGTTTTTCTTATAAAAGACTCCTAACATTGGTTCTGACGTGGCACTCAATGTTGTATTATTGCTTTTTCCCTCCTTTAACTCGTAGAGTATAATTAGAATATTTTTTCAGTCAAAATAACAAAGAACAACATCCTACTTAGGTGCAGAACAACCTTGGAGATTCCTGCCCCATCTTTCTTAGAGTATGTAATGTTCAATGATATGGGGTTAATAGAGGTGTTAATTTGGCAATCTCAGTGCTGCAAACAATATTTTCTCAAGTTATATCTTTAGTGAATCTTGACTTATTAGACTGCTTATTTATGCAGACAATCTCAGTTATATATCTACTGAACTTGTATATCGACAGACATGTAAACATTTCAAGAAGTTGTCTGCAGGCTCTTTTTAGTGACTGGGTTGGGTTGGATCTTTCCCCTTTGGCATGAAAAATAGGTCTGTAAAGTAATACATGGACTACAATCAAAACTAGTTTGGCTGATAGATTTAAAATTTTCATATTGTTATTGTTGTCTAGTAATGTTTATTAATATAAAAGAGTAAAAATTGATACTAATCGTCTTAACGTACTTACAATAATTTATAAAAATACTTTTCCTATTGTTTTTCTTTTCTTTTTTATTTTACGTAGCATTTTATGGTCTTTTCTGGTCTTGCTTGGAGATGCAATTTGTATCCACACCACACTCTATCTTCTCTGTGACAAGGAAACAAATCAGTATTTTTAATCTGTGTGTGGAAATTCTTCTTAGGATGTAGCCAAATCTTTTTACCTTGTGGTTTATGAAGAAGACTTTGAAAGGGTTAGGTATAATGTATTGCGAAGTGTATTGGACCAAAGGTTGATTACGTGGTTGACTGGCTTTGTGAAGCTCTACCAATTTAACTATCAATGGTAACCGAGAAAGTGACATTCTTTGGTGTCGGTTTTGCACTTTTATCTTTATCAAAAGAGGGCATGTGTACTCAGACTGCATCGGACTGCATCCTACATTCTCCATGAAAATTGTCGGGGTGATCCACAGATCCATGGTCTATTTCGAAGTAATGCAGTCCAGCTGGTATAGTTGGCAGTGCCAATCGTGCCGCTACTGGGACTTGGGACTGCGTAACGTCGAAGTCAGCCAAAGACCACCCTGTCATTCCTGTAAATAATTGTCATAACTTTTTTTTTGTCAAAAACAAAATGGAAAAAAACCGCACATTCAAGTGTATCTAGTCGCTGTTAGCTATTCGAAAGCCGTTGAGTTTTACAGAGAGGCATGTGCTTTTTGAATATCTGGTGTTACAGTATTGATGTTCATAATTTGTGGTGCAGATCTGACTCATTTTTTCTGGTGCTATGTATTCGGTATCTTTCGGTATCAATTTGGTATCTGTTTGTAACAAGATGGTTCAAGGATGGTGTTTTCTGCTCATTGTAGTGGTTAAAGTCTATAGGGCCCGTGACAAAGTATTTTGTTATTGCTTTGACCAATTCTGTCTGTTTCTGTTATTATTTGACATCTCTCCAGATTGAAGACCTGAATTTGTCTAAAGACACTTGATTTGTGCTTCATCACTTCTTGTGTTGTTGCAACAGAGAAAAAATAATGAGTTAATGTAATCCTCCCAATTGTGTAGTAATAAACGGTAGTATGTGAACAGATAAAGTCACTTTGTTTCATTTTCTCTTTAGAATTATGTACATTTATTTGTGCATTCAAAATGAGTACAAAATATAAATACTTGTGTTTAAAGGGAGCATGATCTACCTATTCTACATTTGGTTCATTCCTATGTTTAATGAATAAAGCAGTATACAAAATCTACAGCTTATCATACTGAAATGCTTCCGTTCCAATACTATCAACCTTTTTACAGAGCTGCAAGGCTTACAAAAATCGGCTTGGATATAAAATAAATTATCTGCTACATATGTCAGGGCCACAATAAAATAAATTGTTCCCCAATGTTCAGTTGATGAAATCTGGGGCAATTACTGGGGCACTAAAACCAAAAACAATCGAAAATATTTTAGAAAAAAAGTATTGTTGAAGGATTATTTTTCTACAATGGGTTCTCTTGTTACTTCAAACAAAGCTCCACAAACCAACACACATTCTGGGGAAAGAGGGATGATAAAATGTAATCCGTTAAAGACTCCACTGCCTTTGCAGTTTAAGTTCCCATTCCGCACTTGACTGGCAGACCCATGCAACAGACCGTAGGTGCAGCGTTGGTCTCAGCCTTGTCGTAGGTGTGGGGGTTGAGGCCAGGGCCTGGGAGAGGCGCTGGCCCTGCATGCTGCAGGAGGTGATCGGCGGATCGCCGCCACGCTACGCCTCGGCCACGCCTGCGACAAGGCGGCGCCGGCAATGCGTGCGAACTGGAGCTCCTCGTTAAGTCGATGGTGGAGGGGATGCAAGTCCTGTCACTCTCCCTCTACGTGGAGGGGGCAGCGGGGGCGGGGCTGACGAGGGCCTGAGGCCTGCTGGGCCTGCGGGGGCCAGCCCCCGGCCCCGCCCCCACCCTTCCTCATGGGGGTTTGCCGCCCCCGGCGCCCCGCAGCCCCTTCTCCACGTCCACCCCCGCCCCGGCCGCTCCGGCAGCCCCGGCCGCCCCGGCCCCGCCTGCAGGGACGGCGATGGCGGCGGGACGCGTCGCCGCGGCACGCTCGGCCAGTTGGATGCGCTTGTATTTCTCTGCAACACAGTATTCGGTGTCAGGAAACGTCTTCATTGGCGCACAAAACGAGAAAATTTAGCAAATAGAGCAGCATAGGGCGCCTGCAATCATGTGTGGTCTAGCCTCTAATGGTAATGGCAATGCGGTCGTAGGCCGTCCCGCAAGACACGCGTGCGCGGCGGGAGGGTCTACCCAACAGGCGCTTCAGGGCGCCTGCGATCGTGGGCCGTCCCGCAAGGCACGCGTGCGCGGCGGGAGGGTCTACCCAACAGGCGCTTCAGGGCGCCTGCGATCGTGGGCCGTCCCGCAAGGCACGCGTGCGCGGCGGGAGGGTCTACCCAACAGGCGCTACGGGGCGCTATGTGTGCAGGCCCCGCAGGCGAAGGAGAGGGGTATCGGACTTACTGGCTAGCCGTAGAGCGATGAGGCCCCACCAGATGCTCCAGCCCCAGCCGACGAGGCAGAACAGCACGGTGAAGAGCTGGGACGCGGCCACCAGCGTGTCGAGGCAGAAGGCCCCCACGCGCGCCTTGGCCGTGTCGCTGGAGCTGAAGCGCGGCTTGCCCACGCACAGGCAGAACAGCCCCATGGACAGCGTGCCTGCAACACAAACACGGTCGCGGGTTCGAGTCTCGCCAGGGGCGCCACGTCCAGTTTGCCATTTCGTTTACAGTGGAGACGCACCTAGCCCCGGCACGAACACGTTGCAGACCATGCAGATCCAGGCCAGGGGCAGCGGCAGCACGGGGATGGCCCCCCGCATGACGCCGTTGTGTTCCACCAGGGCGGCGTCCAGCTTGCTCAGCTCCTGCGTGTGGCACGGGTTCAAACACCGAGTCAGCAAATTATTTTTTTCTTTAGTCCTTTACTTGCTTATCGCAGCAGCGCGTTAGCAGACTAACCGCCACAATAAAACACCCCTTACCTTGCTGCTGGCCGTCATGGACTTGCCGCGGGCCAGGCTGCGTGCCTGGGACCGGCGCCGCTCGCCCGCCCCCGCCGCCTCCGGGGCCGTGGGCAGGGGGCAGCAGCGCGCGCAGCATCCTCCCGGCCGGCGGCAGGCCGAGCGCAGGCAGCACGCCGTGTTGAGGCAGAGCAGCGCGCTGCACGCGGCCCGCGCCAGCCCACCGCACCGCATCCACCCCCTGGCGCAGCAGTTGCGCGCCGGCACCGCGTCGGCCGGGGCCGCGGCCTTGGGGGCGGCCTTCGGGGCCACGCCGGCATCTTTCCGCCTGTCGGGGAAGCATAGAGTCAGAGCCCTCACGCAGCGAGACGCCACACCTCTCTAGCCATGCTGTGACTGTAGCCGAACGCGTGGAGCTGCGGGGCGCGCTGCCACGACGGGCAAGATGCTGCAAGATGCTCTAGGAGGCGAAACCGGTTTGAAATAACGTTCAAAGAAAGCAATGGGGTGAAACAGAACAGCCGAATTATAGCTGGTACCTTACAATTTTATATTTATCATTTCGGGTAAGAGCCGAAAGAATCATCTGCTGCTAGGAAAAAAGCGGTAATTAAGTAATGCAAAACAAAAAAAAATATGCGAAAAATAAAACTAAAACTAAGACATTTTTTTAAAATTAAAATTAGGAATGTTGCGTGTCACCGACCTGTTCCTCCACCAAAAAACAGCAAACCGCAAAACAAAATCAAACAAATTTAAAAAAAATACCTGATGAAGCCGTGCAATCGGGTCAAAGGCAAGCTGGTGGTCAAGCTGATGGGCAAGCTGGGCGCGCGCAGGCGCACGGTGATGGACTCAAGCCAGTGCCTGTCGCCGTTGCCGGACCTGGTCCTGCCGCAGAAGTCCCTCAGCTTGCTGAGACACCCCGCGCACCCTCCCTGCGGCTTGGTGGCGGTGGCGGCGGCGGCGGTGGTGGTGGACGGCGACCCGGCGGCGAGCGCCTCGGCGGAGTCCCTCGGCGCGGTGCGGCGGCACGGGCCGCAGCAGGCGAGGCGCCGCAGCAGGCCGGGGGTGGCGGGGGACCTCATGGAGCGCGGCGCCTTGGGGGGCCGCGGCTTGGCCCACGCCTTACCGCCGCCGCGGCCCCCGCGACGCAGCCACCGCAGGCACCCGCCCGCGCCCCGCTTCCCGCCGCCCGACCTGGAACAACGAGGAGCCGAGTGGTTAGCCGAGGTGTCAGCGCCGTTGCCGTCCGTAACGGTGGTCGCGGGTTCGAGCACCAGTCGAGGTCCCGCATCACAGGCGTCCACATTACTTATTTTCCTGCAAAAAACATGTTTCCCTGCCTGGCTCTGTGTGAGGCTCTAAGCGGGGCTAAAATTAACCCGCCGGCCCGCGAGAATTAAGTGGCGCTGTGGCTTTTCATGGTCATTGCAGTGCAGGGCTAATGAGCCTCAAGCGGCACGGCGAGGTGCCGCTCGGCCACCGGCACCCACCCCGCGAGGCGCCGCGAGGGAAAGTGGGGGGGGGATTCCAGCGCGCTGCGTGCAGGGCAGTGTAGGGCCCCCGACCGCCTCGTAAATTCGATGCTGATTATCATACTGTGTCGGGATGCCTTCCAAAGTGCAGCGCGCTGCAGCGATGGAGGGCGGCCCCTTGGGGGGTGGGGTGCACTAGGAACTAGGCCATTTGAGGCGCATCTTCGCGTGTGCTCGCTCTGGGGCTGTAGGGCTGGGCCACGCTGGGCAGCGCGGCGCTGGATCCGAAGCGTTTTGTAGTTCAGTAGGTCGGGGCGTCGGGGCGTCGGCACGTCGGGACGAGCAAACTGCGCCTCCACCCCCCAGTGTAGGCGCTGCGGCCGAGCCTGCAGGCCCTGCAGGCCCTGCAGGCCGTGTCGCGTGCGGCCGCTGCCCACCCCCACCCCCACCCCCACCCCAGGGGTCACGGCGGCAGAAAGGAGAAAGAAGCAAGGAATGAATGGTAGGTCGGGGAGATTAAACCGACATCAGTGGGCTGGCCAGGCTGGCCAGGCTGGCCTGATGGCAGCACCGCGAAGCACAACAACCACCACAACACACTCCCCGCGACAAATGGGCTTCTCCCTGGCCCGGCCGGCCCACTGTAGTAGTCCGATTCCGAACGGCGCCTTGCCGCTCCGTCTCTCTCGCACCCCTGCGGAACGCCCCGTGAGAGCGAGCGAGGGAGAAGCAGGGCGGTTGCATTGTTGAGGCGCCGGCGCGGCGCACAGGAAACGGTTCTCGCAGTGCAGGGCCCGCGATTCCAGCCATTCCGCGACCGCGCCTTGAGATGGTATCGGCTGCCAATAAGGCTGAGTATACCTGCAGCGCTGCCTATAACCAGGGCTAACAAATTGGAAGGCAAACAAGGCAATCGGGGCAAACAGGGGGGGGGGGGGCGCCGACGGGCGGCAGTGCGACGCGTTCGAAAAGGTCACCAGAATGGGCGGGGAAAAGGATTGGTCACCGGGCGAGGGGAGGAGGGGCCGAAGGGTGGCCGACCGAGTGCGGTTTTCGCGTCGGGTCAGCATCAAGCGTCGTCGCAAGGAGAAGCTACCGCGTCGAAAACCAGGCACCGGTTCCGGCTTCTGAATGGCGCCAAATGATTGCTTGCTTGGCCGCGGGGCCGCGCGGCTATTCCTACACGCTCTACTTGCAGAGTCGCCGAGCGAGGACGCACAACAAACGAAGGCGCACGAAGGCCTTCGTCTCCAGCAGCAGCGCGGCGTGGAGTGCCGTGGCGTGGCGTGGCAGGCACTCGGCCGTGCAGCGCGCCCTCGCCCTTACGTGCAGCGGCCGGGCAGCGCCGGGCAGCGCGGGTTGAAGGTCGGCCAGCGGTCTAGCAACTCGGTTAACAAGAAAACAAAATAAAGAGAATCGTGCATCGGGGAATCCATTGAAAATCTACGTGAAGCCCGTTTTGCCAATATAATTATCTTGAGAAAGAAACCACTCCAAAACAAATACCTCTAGTTCCTATCTCTAGTACCATACCTCTAGTACTTAAGTTCAATTAAGTCATTTCATGGATTTTAAATTTACTGCCGCAACAGTCGCAATCTTATTAATTACCGCTATGGTCCTGCCACCTGGTGAGCCTGCAGCTGCTCGGGCTCTCGAACTTTCGAGAGCGCCGAGAGCGCCGTTTGCGGAAAGGTTGGCAGCTCTCGTGCGCCCGTGACGTGAGGTTAATGTATTCCGCCGGCATTGGCAAATTACCATTTCGTAAGTAAAAGTAGGCGAGGCGACGCGAGGGGTGGGCGTGTCGAGGCGCGGGGACCAGGCACGCGAAAAAAGCGAAAGGGGAGGGGGATGCGAACCACGGTCCTTCTGCTGCGTGGAATCTAATGCAAACAGGGTGGCTTTCCTGGAAAACCTGTTGGCGTCGCAGGGTGGCTTGAGGTTAGCTAGCGCGCGGCTATCGCAGCATCTCGTCCATCGGGGTGTGGCCGCGCGAGGCAACACAACACACCCAAGGCCGCCCAGCCTGGCGTTGGGCCTTGAAGCCTGAACCCGGCAACGGGGAGGGATGCATTACCCCCGAGTTTCGGTGCAACCCCGCAGCACTTCGGCGTCGACCTGACTCGGGAATGCCAGCGAAGAAACCGATAAAAAAAATAGTCGTTGTTATCGAAAAACGGGGCACGAGAGGGGCCGAAAAAGGCTCATACATTGTATGTAAACACCCTATGGAATATTTTGAGCGCACGCGCGAAGGAAAAGGGAGGGGGGGCTATTCGCACAAACTCTGCTCTTTTTAATAGGTAATGCGTCGTTAATTCCAAAGAATATTTTTGTTACCTATAATACGCATGCTCAAAATACTTTTCTGAAACGTACAATTTCTTCGTACGGCCAGTAACAGGTATTTAAGAATATAGGAGCCCCTTGGTAAGTGCGACAGAAACGACTCGATAGGTGAAACTGACGACGTCATTGGTTGTTGCAGGGCGACACACAGGGTCCCAGTCGAGCTTCCCGTGGGACTCCAAGCAGACGGCGGGCGGCGTCGACCACGGGGTACGAGGGTTGACGCGACGCCACAGGGCCAGGGCCTCGCTAGCTCACCGCAAGGCCGACGCAATCAACGTCTGGCCGTCCTCGTCGTCGGCGTCGGAACTCACCCGTCGAATATCTTGACCTGAGTCATTCCCTGTGCGCTGGCCGGCCTCTGGCGGTGCGCCTGGCGCCCATGCTGGCGCGGCCGGGGCGTCGAGGGTGTCTTCGGGGAGGCCGGACGGACTCGACTGGACTCGAGCCGCGACGCCAGACGCCAGGCACGCCAGGCACTCGAGCCCTCGGGCCCCTCGGGGCGGCGAGCGCGCTAGGGGTGGCCAGGGGCGGCCAGGGGGAAGGGGAAGGCCGGGGAAGGCGGCGCTTGACCTTGCGAGGCCCGTCCGGGGCCGTCTTGACCACCCCCTCCAGGCGGCAGGGTCAATATGAACCGCATAATGGGGGCTCCACAGGAAGGAAAAGGGGTGGGGGGCGCAGAAGACCCGCGCGTCGGCCGGGAGAAACAGAGGGGGCAATTGAGCGAGGCAAAACAAATGCGGGATACTGTGGGTCTGCGTGTTTGTCCGTGTTGTCGGCACGGTTTGGACAGCGACTGCAATGCACTTTCGGGAATCACGACGTTCGAGTGGCAGTCACACATGCCCCAGTCTGCGGCCGGGCAGGCCGACCCGTAAGGCCGATTGTTCCTTTCGCAGTGGGCTGACTCCTTGTCAGCGAAATGTGACAGTGCGAAGGCAAAGCGAGGCCGTAATTGCGTTTCCGGTGGGACGCCCCCGGCATTCAAGTCTCCGACGGCGGCAAGTCCCACAGTGCAGGCGCGGCGCGGGGCCTTCCAGTGAGTCCACGGAACGCACTCCAGGGGCTGGCCGGCGCCCCAATCACGGACCTTGCCCTGCCCTCGGTACCAATCGCCAAGGCCATAAAGGTACACTGCAAACAAAGCGTCCTGCCGCGCCGATAACGTGCAGTGCGTGTCCGCGGTGGTGCCCGTGGCGTGGCGAGCGAGGCGAGCGAGGCGGCCGCCCAAACTATGACCCCCTCCTTATCGCGATTACGAGCCCCGCCGGCTTTCCCCGCTCGCCGTGCAAGATGGGGGTCTATTAAGACGGCCGGGTAGGGGTGGCTTGGAGTGGGGTCGGTTCAACGGGGAGGCCTGGCAGGCACACGGTAAGGTGAACGAGCCGCTTAACGCGATACCCCCACCCCTGCCGATTGCGCCGGACACGACACCTGGCGCCACCTGCCGGCCGCCGCCACCGCCCGAAAACGCGGGGTATCGCCTGGTCCTGCCCGCCCCGCCGGCACGGCGCTACCCCGCGCGGCGCACGGAGCACTAGTGCGGCGCGCTACCCCCGGCGGCGCTACCCCAGCCCAGGTGGTACTCAGTCCCAGCTGGCCGGCGGCGCTACCCCCCGCCCGAGGCTCCTGGCGGCGCGCCGCGGCGATTCCACGCCTGTTATACTGGTCAGCGTGTTTGCATGTATCGAGCCAACTACAAAGGGAGCGGGGAAAGGGGGACGGGGGAGGGGATCCAGGAGGGAAAGACGGGCTTCTTCGTGAGGTCAGGGATCGAGCAGGCCAGGGCGGCTCTGGCGGCTCGGCAGGAAGCAATCCATTTGGCGAGCCGCGCGCGGCGAGGAGCGAGGACCGCCGCCGTCGTCGCCGTCCTGGTCTGGCATGACGACGGCGACGTGCGGAGTCCTTGGGTGTTTCGAGTAAATTACTGCAGCGGTAGCAGACGTGTGCGAGCGGGCCACGACGGCCCAGTGCATACGGCTGCCTGGGACTGCCCAGGGCCTCGGCCAGGACTCCGGCGGCCAACGAGCCAACACACGAGGCAGCCGAGCCACGGACGGCGAGGGCCTCGGCACTAGGTCGTCGGGGGTTGCGGCGCGAGCGGCGCGGTGAGGCTGGTCACGGTAGCGGGGGCGGGGCGGGGCGGGGCGGGGCGCGGGCAGCACCCCAAGGACGGCTCCGCGCTCCGCCAACGGCCACGTGCGCCTCGTGGGCCGCACCGCCGCACCGCCGCACCGGCCAGCCGAATGGGGTGGACGGCGTCGCGCTGCCACGCGCTGCCACGCATTGCCTCGCGCCGCTCGGCCGAAAGTGGCCCCGTTTGAGGGGGCCAATACCGGGTGCACGCCAAAGCATACGCAACAGTGCTGCCTGCGGGGTGACCAGTCCTGTCTGTTTCGTGGGATCGGAACGCTAATGTGCATGTCTCTGTTGAGGAGGCAGGAGGCCGTACCGGAACTTAACACAGGGCAAACGTTGGTAAAATGACGTAACAAAAATCTAGTAAAAAATAAAAGTTAAAATTTTTCTTTTTTTAAAACCAGCTTTTTCGAAAAAAATTACCAAATTGGTAATTGCAATTGGCAAAAAAAATTGTAAAGAGATGGCGTTAAAGCCCACCTTTCTCTCTGGAGTCCCACCTGAGTTTGCCCCCTAATACAATGGCTGAACATGACCATTGGTCGGCCTGCGCGCCTCTGAGGCCGAAACGTAATTAAAATGGGATGGGATGATGGGATGCACCCATACCCGGCGTTCCACGCGTTCCTGGCGTTCGGCGCCACGGCCGCGAAGCACGAGGAGGAGAGGAGGCCACGCCCAAGGCAATTTCCCGTGTTTTGCATGTCCAGCGGGCAAGCAAGGCAGGCAGGGCATCGGGCGGCCGCGCGGGCGGACATGACGGGGGAGGAGGAACGAAGGACGACACTGGGAGCGGCACGTAAAAATAGCGCGCCCCGGACAGCCGTTTGAATCTTCATTGGGTTTTCCCCATCAGGGCACGCTGGCCAGCGCAGCGAGCGGGGCGCCCTGCCTTACCCCGCGCCGGGTGGGGTGGGGGTGGGTGGGGTGGGGCGGGGCGGGGTGGGGTGGGGCGCGTGGCCCTGGGCCTTGGCGGAGTACCAGGGGGAGGTCAGGGGGGTCTGGAGGGAGGCAGCCGCACCCCGCGCCCGCCGAGGTCATCACTCAACCAACAAAATAAGGGCGAATTGGTCGAGCCACTCTGAGGGTTGTTCAACCGCGACGGCTTCACTTACGCCAGATTGGCACAGGCGGCCAGGCCTTCGCGGCCTTCGTGACACGCTTGTTGCTGACCTTTCCCAAACAGCGCCAAGTTTTCACTCGACTGTCTGAAAAATCAATTCTGCCGTAAAGGCAGGTGATGAATCACGGCAAAGTAGTTGAGGGCGGGGCACAGTGCCTGGCGGCAGTGCCCGGCCGGCGGTACTCACTCTTTACTGTCTTCCTTGGACGCCGACGCCGTGGCGGCGGTCTCCTTGTTGGCACTGGAGGCCGCGGCGTCGAGGGCCTCCTTCGCGTCAGACTTGGCGGCGGTGGCCGTGGCAGTGTTGGCGGCCGCGCCGGCGGCGGCCTTGGCGGCAGTAGCGGCGGGGGCCGCGCTCATGGAAGACGACGTGCTTGGTCCGGCAGGGGCTGGGGCAGTGGTGGCGGCAGTGGCGGCGTTGGACCGGCGGACGGTGGACACGGACTCGTTCGAGCTGGTCGGAGAGTCGTTCGTGGCCCTGGCAGTGTCAGGCTTGGCGGCAGCGGAGGTGTCGCCCAGCCCCGGGGGGACCTGGATGGACTCCTGGGAGGACTTGGAGGACGAGGCGAGGTCGGCGACGACCACGTCCGGCTGCGCCATCTCGAGCGGCGCTGCCGTGGTGGACGCCACCAGCGTGCTGGAGGGCTCGGTGGCGTCGACGCCGCCCACCAGGGACGCCAGGATGCCGCCCGGTGGGCTGCCGTCCTCGGCTGGCGGCGAGGCGGCCGGCGGGGTGGCGGCGCGTGGCGGTGTGGCCGGCCTCGTGGAAGACTTGGGCGGGAGCGGCGTGTCGGGAGGGATGTCGGGGGGCGGTCCGGGGGCGTACGGCGTCGACTCGTCCGACGCCCTGGGAGTGGCAGTGGGGGTGTGTCCACTCGCCCTGGTTGTCTCGGGCAGGGTGGACATTGGCACAGTTGAGGGGCTGGGGTTGGGGTGTGGGTGAGAGGGGTCGGTCTTGCCGGAGCCCGCCGAGCGCCGCATGCCCGGCGCGGCCGTCTTGGCGGCGGCGATGCTGCGGATGGACGTGGACCTCGCCATGGTCTTCTCGGGGGGCTTGGTGCCGGCCGGCTTCTTGACGGCCGCCTTGTTGTTGGCCGGGGGGTCCTTGCGAGGGGTCTTGGGGGTGGCCTTGGTGGCGCGCGGCGACGGCGGCCCCACCCCGCGGCCGGGGGTCGTCCTCCGAGCTGCGGCCGCGGGAGCTACACTGTTACGCCGATTCCGCTCCTTGACGCTCGGCTCCGTCCAGGACGGCGACAGGTACTCCTTGGCGTCCTTCTCGGGGACCACCTCGGCGCTGAGGATGGCGGTGCGGCGCGACGCCCTGGCCGGCGTGCGCGGCGAGGTGGCGTCCTCCTTGGCGCGGCCCTTCTCGTGCGCCTTGGCCACCCTCCGCGGCGACTTGGTGGGCGTCCTGGACGGCGGCGCGCGCTTGGGCGAAGACCTAGCCATCTCGACGATCGTCTCGTCCTTGCGGACGGGGGACGAGACCCTGGAGATGGGCACGGGGATCTGCGAGGACCGCGTGGGGCTCTTGAGCACGGCGTCGGCGGGTTCGTCCGCCGGGATGGGCTGGTCCGGCGAGGGCGTCTTCGTGATCTTGGGGTCCGTCTGCACGCCGCGGGACGGCGATGGCGTCCGCGATCGGGCCGCTGGCATCTGGATGAACCTGGCCGGCTCCGGGGACGGGTCGCGTGTCCTCACTGGTATCCTGGTGGGCGACATAACGGCCCTGCGCGCGGGGGACGCGTCCCTGGCCATGGGCCTGGCCACCGGCCTCCGCGACGGCGAGTAGTACACGGGCGCCATCGGCCTCCTGGTGGGCGACGGCTCCCTGGACCGCACAGCCCGTCGCCCGGGGGACTCCATCATTCTCTTTGCTGGCGACCGTCTCCGCGGGGGCGAAGTCTCTCGTATGTCCCGGTGCGCTGGTCTCGTGTCCACGACGTCTCTCCGCGAGTAAGGGATCCTGCTGGGCGAAGCCGTCCTGGACTGCGGCGTGGAGTACACGAGCGGCCTCTGCGGCGAGACGTCGCGGGAGTACGCGGTGCGCCCTGGAGACGCCGTCCCGTAGAACGACGTCACCCTCCTGGGTGAGTAGTCTCGAGGGTCCCTCCTTCTGGGCAGTGGTCTGTCCTGCTCCCTGCCGGGCGACACTGGCCTGGAGCGCGGCAGTCTCCTTGGCGAGGCGTTCCTGGAGTAAGTACCTCTTATGGGGGAGTTGCTGTGCGAGTACGCCCCTCTTCCAGGCGAGGCGTTTCTGGAGTATACCGCTCTGCTGGGCGAATCGTTGTGGGAATACACGCCCCTGTTGGGCGAGGCGTTCCTCGAGTAGAGTGTTCTACTTGGCGAGGCGTTTCTGGAGTACGCTACTCTGCTGGGCGAGGCGTTTCTGGAGTAAGCCCCTCTGCTGGGTGAAGCGTTTCTAGAGTACGCCCCTCTACCGGGCGAAGTGGTTCTAGAGTACGCCCCCCTGCTGGGCGAGGCGTTCCTAGAGTACGCCCCTCTGCTGGGCGAGGCGTTCCTGGAGTACGCCCCTCTGCTGGGCGAGGCGTTCCTTGAATATGCCCCTCTGCTGGGCGACGCAGTCCTGGACGTGGGGGTGCTTCTGGCGCCCCGGCCCGGCGAGGCCCCTCTGGCGGGGAAGCCTCTTTGCGCCCCGAACCGCCCTCTGGCGGGCGAGGCGTCCCGGGGCCTCGAGGGGCGTCGCGGCGTCGCGGCCTTCTGCTCGAAGGCGGCCGTCAACTGGCTCACGGAGCCGGCGGCGCGCGCGGGGCTGAGGCGGCGCGGTGACACGCTGCGGCTGGACCTCGACGGCGACCTGGACGGCGAGTGGCTGGGCGAGTACCGCGAGTCGGGCCGGAAGCCGCGGCCGCGGAAGGGGCTGGAGGAGCGCAGCGGCGTCTCCAGCAGGCTGCCGTCCGCGAGGATCGTAAAGGCGCTCTTCTTGTCGGCGGCCGACTGCGGCGGGGCCACCCTGGCCCGGGACTGGCGGCCGGCTGTCCTGGCGGTCGTGGACTGGACGAGGGCGGCGCCGGGGCCCGCGCCGACGCCAGCGGTGCCGACCAGGAACGTCTCACGGTGCGTGAGCTGTCGCGGAGGCGGCGCTGGGGGCTGCGCGGGGCGCGTCGCGGGCATCTGGAACATGGAACGCGTCGGCAGTGAGTCTCGCTGCTTTTAGCCGGCACTTCCATTCCCCACGCCGCGGCCCGCGATGGCGGAGGCGTTTCGCGCGGGGAGGAAATAGCCCTCTGCGGAAATGTTTCGAAATCCAAACCGACGCAGAGCCGCGCCCGGCACCGCCACGCCACGCCGCGGCACAACATCCGTGGCGTGCGCTTCGTGCGCCGCGTGCGCTGCGTGCGCCCGGTGCAGCAACCGGCCATGTACGGGCCACGGGCACGGCGGCACGGCGGCGTCGCGGAGACGGCAAGGCAGTCACGAAGATTTAGGAGACCAGCCTATACCGGCACCTCGCAATCACTGAGGTGTGCAATGCAGCGGCGCGATGCGTGCTGCTTGACAAGACAGCCTCTACTCGCTCTGCCGCCTGGCGCGTAGGCAGCAGGCAGGCAGTACCTCCGGCTATCGCCCGTTGAGGCCGTTGATTCACGCAACAACTAAAGCGTCGCGTAACCCTGTCCCGCCCTGTCCTCCAGGTTCAAACTCGAACTGGTTCAAAGACCAGCTTGGCGACACCGCTGCACCCACCTGATGCCTGGAGTAGATGATGGCCGGGTACAGCACTGGCGTGCCTGGCACTGGCGTCCCGCACACGGGCGTGCCTGGCACGGGCGTGCCGGGCAGCGAGTGGTGCAGCCCGCATCCTCCGTGCTCCGGGCAGCGACTGGGCGACGCCGCTCTGCAGACGCACACCCCGGCGACGCCCGGCGCCGCGACGACCGCCGAGCCGCCGCCCAGCGGCCCCAGCGGCGCCAGCACCAGCGCGGCATGGGCGTGCGTGCGCGGGGGCGGGGGAGGGGCGTGCTTGAGGATGCCGGTGGGAGGGGCGCCGGGAGGGGCGCCCCCCACCCCTCCGCCTCGCCCCTTCATCCTGCTGGAAACAAACAAACAGTCATGAGGCTGACGACGTCTCGGGTGCCTTCCGCGTGTGCACTGGGGCACACCCGCACGCCTGCACGACACCCGGGGCTCCCGGGGGCTGGACTCGATACTTCCTCTTCCTCTAATTTTGCTGTTCCCAAGACACGGCATTTCCTTAAAGCTTGCCATTTGATTGTAAGAAGAATCCTGCCGTAGGAATGAAAGATAAAAGCCGCATGGCTTATGAGCGTTTCAGTGAATCCCCTGGCCGTCTGTCGGTCGGCCGAGTCAGGCGCGTCGGTTTGACGGTCCGCCTGTCACGCACTTTGGCCAAACTTGGCGGGGCTTCCGCGGGCTTCCGCTCCAAACAGCGGCCGCTTGCCCCGGCTTGCCGCTTTCCCGGGCGCGGGGCGACGCGCAACGCTATGCAACCGGACAAGAGATTTTTTCCGGACCGCTTTCCCGCTTGGCCTACCTCTAGGCCTGCTCCGCCATAAGGCTGCCGCCCTTTCGCCGCGCCGTTCAAAGATACACCGTTCAACATTCATTCTCGCGATACCCATCTGGCGTGGGCGCGCGCGTGCGACTGTGCGTCATCTCTCCCGCGTGCGTGCGTGTGTGTGTTTGTGTGTGCGTGCGCGCGCGCGCGCGCGCGCGCGTGTGTGTGTGTGTGTGTGTGTGAGCGTCCGTGTGAGGCGGCCAACAGGTGCGGTGGGTGCATCCGGAGCGTGTCGTGTCGATACTCCCCGTCAGCAGGTGCATGCAGTGCACTGCACTGCACTGCGCGCCGAGAGCATTTCAGCCCGCCGGCCGCCACTGCTCGATGCTCGCCTCGCTCGTTTACATGGCTCGGCTATGCTCGGAATCCTCCTCGGCTCTCGGCCGCGCTCGGCGCTCGGCTCGGCACCGCCAGCTCCGCGCAGCGAAAGTGCCTGTGACCACACCACGTGACCACAACAACACTTTGGCTGCGCAGCCACGCTGATCACCCTAGACGCCGCCAGGCCGTCAGCACGGCGGCCTGCAAGCCCTGCAAGCCTGAAGCAGCACGGGCCGCGGAGACCGGCCTGCTCCAGGCGTAACGCGGTGAGCACGGCTGGACGCGCGCCACCAAGAAGGAGAGGGGGAGGGGGGAGTGTCGCTGGGCTCGTAATGCCGTTACGAGAGGATTGGCGTCGGTTCCACCAGTTCCACTTCCTCGCCAAGTGCCTCTCCCAGCCTTTAGTCCGCCCAGGCCGCGCGGGCCGCGAATTTAGATCCGAAGCCAAGGACCGATAATCGTCCAATCGGCATCGGCCAATCGGCCACCGCGGCAGTCCGCAGTCCTGCACGGCCCGCTGCGCTACGCTGCGCCCGGTCGGGGCGTTGCGCCTGCGATCGCCTGCACCTCGGTCTCGGTGTCGTAAATGCAATGAGGTGCGAGTTCCTGACGCCCCAGCTCGCCCCAGCCGCAAGGGGCCCATGCCCGACCAGGCCTCGGAACAGTCAGTGCCCTATCGTCGCTCCCGCTGCCCTCTCACTCGCGGGGCGTCCGGCAATTTAAGAGAGCGACAGAGAGACGAGGCGCGTCAGGAATCGGTCTGCAGCAGGCTGATTCCGAGAGTCGTCTTCGTCGCGCTGTCTCTCTCGCACTCATGGGGCATCCCTTAAAGGTGCGAGAGAGACAGAGCGACGACGTCGACTTTCGGACTCTCAGTCTGCAGTGCAGCAGGGCCTCGGCCAGCCAGGCCTCCTCAAGCGCGGCCTCGGCCACGCCGCTCTCCGCTCTTCTTCCGCGACCGCCGCGACCACGGCGACACGCCTGGAGCAGTCTTTTGTTTCCGGCGGCTCGGCTCGGCTCGGCTCGGCTCGGCTCGGCTCGGCTTGGCGGCACACGACGGCGAAAGCCAGCCGCGGCAAGGACCTCGCATCAAATAGAACGGCAACGCTTTCCAGGACGCACTCTGCTTTAAACTCCTTGTTTGGACCGCAATGGCGTGCTCTTGTTTTCGCCCAGCCCGAACGGAACGCCCCCTCTTTCCTGTCTTAGCTTGCCGGCTTGCCCAAATCCCGCATTGGCTATTGCAGCAATTATCGTTGCAGCCTGTTGCACCCCCAGAATGCAATGTTGCGGCAACGCGTTGGCGGCCGCCCGCACCGCACTTTATTACTTTATTTTTTTGCCGTGGCGGGGTGCTCCAGATAGACACGCCGCGTAGTTTTGGCGCGAAGGGCGTGGCGTGGCGCGCGGCGCGCAGGGCAGCCAACGGCAGCCAACTCATCGGCCAATGGAAAGTGACTCCAGTGTAGTGGAATTCCTGCCTTTCCCCGACCTGCCAAAGACAGCCTGGCTCACGGGATAGGCCACCCGCCCCGAAGGCGTGCGGGGCGGCCAGTGGCACAGCCATTCAGGAGAGTCGTTTCGTCGCTCTGTCTCTGTCGCGCCCTTACGGCGAGCCCCACCAGTGCGACAGAGACAGAGCGAGAAACCGATCTTCTGAATCGCTCGGCAGGGAGCAGGAGCAGGGCACCGCGGAAGCCGAGCGAGCGGCCGCGGCTGCGCGTCCGGACAACGCCTTCCACTTTCATTTAAATTTCATCAGCGAGAAAAAAGCGCGCTGCTCCTGATCCGCGGCGTCGGGCCCGTCGGGCCGACTAACCGTCCGCTTACCTTTTTGTCGGGGTCCGCTCGTCAGGTGGACGCGGGTGGCGGCGCGGGCGGGCGGTGCGCGGCCTCCTCGCGGCGGCGTCTCATTGTCGGCGACCAACCCGGACGCCGCCAACGC